AGGCATCTTAGATTCCTGCCTTCCTATCTACTGAGACACATATCAGAGGGACCACCAGAATGAGGTGTTCTTCAATTGGCACGTTGCACGAGGCTGCACAATGGTGATCGCACTACGGCCACCTGGGCCTCCCCGGGGCACGTATGCTTTTTCCTCCCTTGCGATGATTGCAAAACTTCTCCATCATCTTGTTGTTCAGCGAATAATACCACCTTGGCTGTCCCACTGTGACGGAGTCAACCATGTTTCTCAGACCTTACGGGATTGATTGGTGAGGATCTCCTCCTCCTACATTCATATCCTACTATTCTCATGGATCCAAAGGAAACCTGCATCTTCTATTCCTAGAGGGTCGGCTGAACCTGGTGGCTGGAAGTCATTTGGGGATTCTTGACAGATCAGCACACTATCGCAGGTTGTTAGCTGTCCTCTTAGCTGTCTCTAGGGCCCAAGGACGTGTCGATGCAACCTCTCCATCTGGGTGTTCCCATTCTGATTGTTTTTTGTTCGGCTCAATGGCCCGTGTCCCGGTCTGGAGACTCCCAATGGGCAAGGATCCTAACACTTATATACAAGCTACCCACTGACATCCACCTCTGGTTAATGGGACGTGGAGGTCATTCTCTGTTTTTTTTCTACGAGTCTAGGGCATCAACTGACAGACTTTTATGCTTGGACTAATGGCTTTCCATCAGGTACCGTATATTCGGGCATTCGACAGGGAAGTTTCTCCCGTAAAACTCACGTGCTAGGTATCCCCTCACCCTTTCGGATTCTTCATTAATTTTCTATTACTTTCAGCATTAAAAAAGCAAAATACGAAGCCTCCTGTCATGTTGTAAAATTTAATATTATGCTAGCTTTAGTGTACTAATAATTTAAATTTTAATGATGATAGGATAAATGTATTTTCCCTCCCTGCTTCGCTAACCCACCCTTTCTGTTCGTTTTCTTTGTATGTATCACGGGTTTGGCTCTCAATGTTTTGTGCTTACATTGATGATTGTATTTCCATTAATCTGGAATTCTCATTGGAGTTTTACATAATAGTTATTCAGTTATTAGATTGTAATTTACAATTTTCTTCTATGAGATGAGGTATACGGTACGGTATTTGGATTTACATGTTCATGACTATGTGTCTAAACCTGTCACATATTCTCTTTTTAGTATGATTCGTCTCTGAAGACATTTGGTTGTTCTGTGAAACGCTCTGGAATTTTGATCCTTTGGATTTGATTCGTCCCTGAACACTTTTTCATTGTTTTTGTGGTATATAATGGGAAGTTTGCTACTTCGGTTGTTGGATTTAGGAGTAACTGTTATTGCTTGTTATATGTTTACTTCTGCTTGAGGTCACTTTCTGAAAGAGGAAGTGATGAGGTCACTATGCCTTATGTACATCCTACTCTCGTGATTGGTTCTTTTTTCTATGTGTTTCTTTGCTGTTGTGCGGAGCTAGTAAAGAGAGATTATGCAAAATACTCGCCTCCTGTCATTATTAAAATTAAGATTTTTAGTACACTAAAGCTAGCATAATCTTCAATTATGGATGAATGGTCCAATACAGATAAAAAAGCTATCAGCACAAGGCAGAATCTCGCGCCTCTACCCGTTTGGAAAATCTGACTCAAGCTTTTGGGATTCTGCTCCAAAGGTAGATGCAGCAATGATCAGACTTGAAAAACACACCACATTACCAGTCGACAATGCAGGCTTGTTTAGACACCCTATGGATAAGAAAATTTACTTTTTCATCTTTCTAAAGCATATGACACAGGTTTTCACTCCGCAGTAGCCCTCAGTTCAGTATCCAGAGCATTAAAGATTTGGATTGATAACTTGGAAGAGGATATTAAAGATATTAAAGATGGCAGAAGTAGATCCTGTAGCGGAGCTTCCTGTACCCCGGCTGGGTACCTCCGCCAAAGGGACTGCTTCCTAGCTGGAACAGGAGAGCGGATAGGGGAACTAGCTCTCTGCACTCCTAGGGACTGGAAGGCACTCAGTCCTGGGAGCTCCTCAGTCCTTACAAGGACTTTCCCTACTGCATCTTACCAGTTGCGACAAGCTGGCCCAGGTGTTAACCCTTTCTCCCCCCCCTTCTGAAGGTTACAACACTTTATTTGGAACACACAGCTTTTATGCACAGACCCCCACAGGGGGTTTCCATTCAAAGTAACCCAAAACATAAGCCCGCCCAGTAGTCACTGTGTCTGGGAGATAATCAGGTTCCCTCGAAAATTCTACACCAACTGTGTGTACAAAGGATCTCACTGCTACTGATTGCAATGTCGTGGCCAAGCCAAGCATGGTTCCCAGACCTGTTGGAACTGTACTATGACCATCCACTTCTTCCGATGTTTTCCGTTTCTACTCTCCAACCCCATGCTTGGGGCTTGGATGATTTCAGGGGATCTTGGAATGTTGACGGCCTATCGCAGGCCACTAAAGACCTATTGTGGGGCTCACGGGCTCCCGGCAGTTACCTTGCTGCCTGAAACAAGTGGAATAGCTGGTGTGTGGAGAGGGATTCCGATCTCTTTATGGCACCTCTACCAGTCATACTGAATTTCCTGACATAACTATTTGCCACAGGAAGTTCATATTATTCCATTAATGTTTACCGTTCGGCCACTTCTGCCGCACATGTTCCAGTTCTCAGTTTGCCGGTAGGGCAGAAACCGCTCGTCTGTCGACTGTTTTGTGGTATCTGATTATCACGTCCACCTGCCCCAAAATATTCTTGGCTCTGGGACGTGGACGTGGTCCTTCATTTCATGAAGAATTGGCTGGATAACCCGCTGTTGTCTGTTTGCCAAGTCTCTGCAAAATTGACCCAATTACTTTGTATGGTCTCCTTTCGTCGGGTTTCGGACATTTGGGCCTTTGATGTCGCCTCCATCTCCCTCTCGCCAGAAGGGGTTTCTTTTTCTATTTCAAGTCGGACTAAGACTAACTATACTTTGGTTTTTTACTTGTTTTTTTCTGGCTGACCCACAGATTTGTGTGGTTAAGACGTTGCTTCAATACGTGGAGGTTACCTCTTCTCTGCGCAGGGCTCCGTCTGAACAACTCCTTATTTCGTATGTGCACCCACATAAGCCAGTCTCTTCTGCGACCCTAACAACATGGGTGAGATGACTTTTGTCATTAGCTGTCATAGATTCGTGCTTCGGGGCACATTCGATCAGGGGCTAAAGTTCAGTTGGACCAATTATATTGTGATTCCAGTATATTGTTGCAATTCCATAGATGTCACATTGTATATATCTCCATGTTATTTATGGACATATGTTACCCACATCTTTGCTTGATGTAGCCAATTTGGGGATTGTCTAGATATGCTACCTACAAAGTATATCTTACTAAGACACACTACGACATCCCAGTTCTAGCCTCTGTATACACTAACCATTAAATCTTTAGATGCATTTCAGTTACAGTAAAACTGACACCTTGTGCATACTGAACGGTAACACATATTGTCACTGTATGCCCGGGCAACCGTTATCACCTATCTCTTATAATAGGTGCTGTTCTTTCTACCCTGTCATTTAATAACGTTGGCAATTTCAAGCTATTATCCTTCCCCTTGTGGTATATCCACCCCCCTGCATTATACCCTTCCCACACTGAGCATATAACTGTTTCTAGCCTTCGGGTTACTATGGGTAGCATAATCCGCTCTACATACATGCCCACTTGCGTTCCAATTGGTATCTATGACAACCATTAGAATGCAAACAGTCCACAACAGCATACTGCTGCACCAGCGGTTTTTGTAATGCCGAGTCAAATTTACCTGTGAGTTTTTGCTTTCAGCCAGGATCAGTCCAGGGGTTAAATGTGTGTACAGGCTGTATACAGTGTATTTATTACTATTTTAGGCTATTTAATCACTGTTTCTTGTATTGCACTTTATCCTGACGAAAGCTCCATCAGAGAACTGAAACGGATTTATGTATGTGTATATAAATGTATATATGTCGGGAAGGGGATAAGCAGATATAAGTTAGTTTTTCAACAAGTTTGGCAAGTGAGGGGAGCTCACCAGTCCTGTGATATATATATATTATTTTTTTTTTAAGGGAAAATTGAGGCATTCAGCTCATTATAATTTGAAATAACAAAAAGAAGTTAGAATATAATGGTTTCATTCAAGTTATAACTTGGAACATCAGAGGCCTAATGACACTGAATTATGTGATGTTGTTGAAACTCTTAATTGTAGGAGTCCAAAGAAGAGAACGGATTAAATGAACGTCAAACCTCACATAGTGTGTAGTGTTAAATTTCTTATACTGTGAAAGAAGTTACTAAAACAAGTTTACCTATCGTCCAAACATAAATGTAATGCTTTGTGACATTCCTGGGAAACATCAATTCATTAATTCCTTTATCCATTATTATTGCACTGTCCCAGAGGCCATTGTTTTGTTCTTCTTAGTAAATGTGCTTTTGTCAAGTTACATGATCTGTCTTACACAGTTTTAATGAAAGTCTATCCATCTGTCCAGTATATTTTTCTTGTTACTTTCCATTCTGTTTTAAAGATATACAGCTTTTTGTTCATTTGAAACAATTAAGTAGAAAAAAATAAACATTTGCCAATTTTCAGCAAAAACAGCTTTGGATAAAATAAATATAAATTCAAATCTTTTTTTTTTTCAGATTTGTATTTTATTATTTTCTTCAAAATGTGGTCTGGGGTACAGAAGGAAAAGGGGTATGTTAGCGGGGGGGTACAAAGTTTCAGCATTTTACACAACCATCACATCCGTAGAATTTTGCAGAACCGGAGGTAATATAGGGGGAATTGGTACATACATGCATTTCGACACAGTAAATTGGGTGTATGCGTAAGCTGGTTAACTGTTAAGTTGTGTACAGTGTCACTTAGTGTCCATGTGGCCTGGCTCTTGAGTGAGAGCCATGCAAGGGGATCCTCCCGTAACTAAGGTTGTGAGCGTGAGTGGTCGGTATAGCCGACGTAGTTATTATTGTAAGCCGTACGGCCTGTGGTGGTTCTTTACGTCAATTAGTCCCAAGTTTGCGGGTTGGGAAGTGCTGGAGTCATGCCTCATTTTAATGGGTGCGTAGGTGTATAAAAGGGTAGCCCTATGGTAGGGCAAAAACTTGGTAGGGGGGTGGGGTTGGATACTGCCACAAGACCACCAGAGATGCTCCAAGGTTCCTGTAGTTGCATTGCATCTCCAGCAAGTATTGGGCGCATTGGGGTATATGCGGTGACGTCTCTGTGGGGTCATGTACCAGCGGTAGAGGAGTTTTTTGTGGGCCTCAACGTGCGTGTAGCACTTTGTCCATTTAGAGAGGCCGTTGAGGGCGCGTAGCCAGTCGCAGTCCGTCAGCACTGTCCCACAGTCTGTCTCCCAATGGAGTTTATAGGGGTGCGATGTGGTTGTTGAGAGTTCTTGCCATGCCTTGTAGCATAGCGTAAGTGTTTTGGGTTTTGTGGGTGTTGCCCAGCATCTGTCTAGGAGTAAGTAAGAGGTGATTCTAGTCGCATCTGGTGGTGTATGCAGTGTGTGTGTGCTTGTATCGCACTTTTTAGTGTAGGTATGAAAAGATAGCTCTGTTTGGGAGTTGCCACTGTGTTTGTAGGACTGGGAATGGTATAATGCCTTTGGCGTCTAAAAGCTGTGATATTTTTGTCATTCCTGCTGTGTTCCAGTCCTTAAGGGGCATGTTGGGTACTATTGTTCTTAAGACTGAGATTGGGGATTTAGTGTGTAGTGTGTCCTTGTGGCCTATAGTCTCCATAAAGGTGTCCCATATGGATATTGTGAGTTGTGTGGTTGGAAACAGGTCCGTGTGTTTAGTTCTAAACTTCCTCGGTGTCCATAGGTAGTCAGTTAGAGATATGACTGTAAATTGTGTTCTTTCCATGTCCACCCACTGTAATGTGCCTGGTGGAGCGTGAAGGAGTATGCCCATGGAGAGAATCGCTGCTCTGTGGTATTGCCTCAGGTTTGGGAGACCCACTCCTCCAAGTCGCGGAGTAGTCTGGAGAAGTGCTAAGGATACCCTGGGTCTTTTCCCACTCCAGATATAAGTGCCACATAATTTTTGTAGTGCTTTACAAAATTGGGGCGTGATCCCTAGTGGTATCATCCTAAAAATATAAAGGATACGTGGGAGGATCATCATTTTGTATGTGTTAATTCTTCCTAACCACAAGAGTTTTGCGTGTTTCCATCTGTTCATTTCCACTTTGCATAGTGTTAGTAGAGGTTTGTAGTTTAGTTGTGAAGTGGCAGAAATTGTGGGTGCTATCTTTATTCCCAGGTATGTGATAGAGTGTGGTTTCCAGTCGAACTGGTAGGAGGTCTGGAGTGTGTCCAACAAGGGCTTTGGCAGGTTTATTGGTAGGGCTTGGGTTTTGTCTCGGTTTAGGCGGTAGTAGGAGATATCGCCAAATGTCTGTAGGAGGTCTAACAGGGGAGTAAGAGAGCGTTGTGGGTCTGACAGTGCTATAAATATGTCGTCGGCAAACAAAGCTAGACTGTATATTTTGTTGTGGATATTGACTCCTAGTATCTCGGGGTGTGATCGGATCTTTTGGGCCAGGGGTTCTAGGGCGAGTATGTACAGAAGGGGTGACAAAGGGCATCCCTGGTGGGTGCCATTTGTGATGGGGAATGTAGCGGAAAGGAACCCTCCGTGTGATACCTTTGCTGCTGGGCGATGGTATAGAGCCATGATGCTAGTTATGGTGGATTCTGGGAAGTTAAATTGTGCTAAAACTTTAGTCATATAGGCCCAGTTTAGGCGATCAAAGGCCTTCTCCGCGTCCAAGGCGAGGAGGAGGCCTGACGATCTGTTGGACTCCAATGTGGAGATCATGTTTAAAATTTTTCTGGTGTTGTCCGAGCCCTGGCTCTGATAAACCCGGATTGGTCATTGTGGATTATTTTATGCAGGAGGGGGGCAAGTCGGTTACTGATTAGCTTCGCGTATAGCTTGGCATCTCCATTTAGAAGGGATATAGGCCGGAAATTTTTACATTGTGTAGGGGGTTTACTAGGTTTGGGGAGAGTAGAGATATGTGCCAAGAGCATTTTTTCTGGGAGCGCGCCTGCCGTGGCGCATTTGTTGATTAGTTGAAGGAGCAGTGGCGCTATGGTTGGTGAAAAGGTTTTATAGTATTCATTTGTTAAGCCATCGGGGCCCGGTGATTTGTGTGCTGGGAGTTGAGAAATGGCTTTCGTGAGTTCGTCTAGAGAGAAGGGTCTTGTCAGGGGTGCTAGGTCATCTTCTGTCAGTTTGGGTAGGTCTAAGGTAGCTAGGAAGTCATCTATTTTGTCTGGGGTTGGTATGTTCACATTGGGGTCTTGTTTGAGGTTATAGAGTTCGCCGTAGTATTGAGCGAATTGGTCTACAATGTTTTGGGGGTTCGTTACCTTTGTACCCTTGGGGTCATTGAGGAAGGCGATCCTGGAGGCGACATTCCTTTTTTTCAGTTGTGATGCCAGAATTGCACCAGCTTTGTTGCCACTCGTAAAAAAATTGTGTTTCAGTTTCCTGAGCAGGTATGTTGTTTTGGCTAGTTCAATGTTGTTAAGCTTGTTTTGGAGAGCTAGAAGTTTTGTTTTTGTGACTGGGTTTGGGTCTCTTTTGTTTGAATGTGTTAGAGTTCGGATTTCTTCCAAGAGATTAGTATACTCGGTCATTCTCTGCTTTTTAGTGTAGCTGGCATGTTTTATAAAACTGCCTCATATGACCGCCTTATGTGCCAGCCAGATTTGTTCGATTGCGGAATCAGCGGTCGTGTTTTCTGCAATATAATTTTGTAGATCTTTCGTTATCTGGGACACTATTGATGGGTCTGCTAAAAGGGATTCATTAAGTCTCCAGGAGCCGTACCCTTTATTGGCAAACGCTTCTTTAATGCTGAGCGTAATGGGAGCATGGTCGGACCACGTCATTACCCCAATCGTCGCTCCTTCTATTTGGGCCATCGATGTGGTGGGGATGAGGAATCTATCCGAGAATAGCTGTTGTGGGCTGCCGTGTAGCATGTGTAATCTATGTCTGTTGGGTGGAGAATGCGCCATGGGTCTACCATGCGGGCTGCGGTTAGCGTGGAGCATATTTTCGTTGTTAGTGTATTTCTGTGTCTGAGTGTGCAACTCCTGATTTGGGCTGTGGTGGAGGAGTCTAGTCTGCTGTCCAATAGACAGTTTGTGTCGCCTCCAATGATCACCTCCCCATGTCTATACATATCCGTTAAAGCTAGGATCATTTGCAAAAACTCGTTTTGATTTTCGTTAGGGCTATACACATTGATCAGAGTATACGGTGCATTATTCAACATACATTGTAAAATTAAATATCGACCTTTTTTGTCACTAATTTTTCTAACTAAAGAGAATGCCACATCTTTGCTAATCACCGTGGAGACTCCTCTTTTCTTAGCTGAGTAACATGTGTGAAAATCATGAGGATACCACTTTGAGGTGAATTTGGGTCTAGAGCTCCATTTGAAATGGGTCTCTTGGAAAAATGCCACTTGGGCCCCACATTTTTTCGCTTCTTGCAAGGCTAGTCTCCGTTTATTGGGGGAGTTGAGCCCCTTGGCATTTAGGGACATGAGCTTAATCACCATCTATCCAACGTGAAGGGTGCTGTGGCAGGGGTTTGTGTTTCTTAATCAAGTTAGTGGTTATCCTATCTTAGCAGCGTCGGAGGATACCCATAGGATTTGTGTGCCTAGGGGCTCTAGGTATTTTGCAACCTTGCACATCAATTATGCTGTGCTTGCAGAGTACTCTCAGAGGGGGGGGTGGTACGGAGAGGGAAAAGAAAACAAGGGGATAAACTATGTACAACATTCCGTAAGTCACGGTTTGGTGACATATGGTTGCCTGAGGCAACGGAGAAGTTGGGCTACTAGAGCCTTGGGGGTGTATCACACAGGGTGTGGTATCTGGATCCCTGTGTGTAGGGGATCAACAATAACTTAGGTCGAGTTTAGTGCCTCCGGGTATCGCTCACCCATTGCGGCTAGGCCTATGGCCTTCTGTTAAACCCTTATTGGGTATCTTAGGGTAAACTACAGTGGTAACATAAAATAGAAACAGTGTAAACCTGTACGTTAAGTTCGTTGGAGGAAGTGGCGTGGCATTAAGTCTGGGTCTTTCAGGTCGGTGACTTGTCCGGGTCCATGCGTGCCTGGGAGGCCCTGTGAACTCGTGACCAGTCTTTGGAGAGCGCCTTAGGCACTTGGGCCGTTGCTTGTTTCTTCCGAGGGCTAGTACGTGGGAAGGGTATGTTCCATTCTTGAAGCGCCGTTTTGCCGTCTTCCGGAGTCATGATGGGCTTGTCTACGCCGTTTCTTTTAATTAGCAGCTTTGTAGGAAAGCCCTACTTGTAGGGGATATTCGCGTTTCTTAGTGCCTCTGTGATCGGTGCAAAGGCTCGGCGTTTGAGCATGGTCGCCGAGGAGAGATCAGTGAACAGCTTGATATCTTTATACAATTCCGACCATTTGTTCATGTTCCTGGAAGTCTGCATGATTCTGTCCTTGACAGTGAAATGGTGTACTCTTGTGATCGTATCTCTCGCAGTGTCGGGCGGAGATGTTTAGGCTTGGGGAGTCTGTGGGTCCTGTCCAGGATCAGGTCAAATTCGGACAGAGAAGGGATCAGGGTTTTAAACAGGTCTTTGACGTACCTGGGTAAATCTTGTTGTGATACGATCTCTGGTATACCCCTTATACGGATATTATTTCGTCTGCTCCTGTCTTCTTGGTCTGCCACCTTTTCTTCCAAGGATTTTAGTTTGCGTTCTAAATCTGTGTAGGCCTCTGCTATTATATTATGTGCCTCCACCAGCTCTTCTGTCCTGTCTTCCAGGCGGGTAGTACGCTCCCCCATGCTATGGATGTCCACTTTGATGTCGGCGGTCATCTGTTGGAGGTAACCCTTAAATGTGGTTTGGAGCTCCTGCATGATTAGCCTGATTGAGGCATTTGTTGCTGGACTGCTGTGCTCTGACAGGCATTCTCCTGTGTCAGTGCTGTGAGCAGGCGAGTGCCGTCCGTCGGCGCCATCTTGGATTTTCGGCTCCGCGGGTTGTGACCGTTCTAGGTGAGGATTGAGGGTTTTTTGTTTGAATTTTTTCATGGCCATCAGCAGCAGGGGTGTTAACCTGTGGATGTAGTAGGTTATTGCTCGTTTCGTAGGGTTATTCAAGCTGTTATAGCCGCTTTAGTGCCGCGGGCCGGGAGAGCTCCGTTCCTGCACGTCCGCTCACATGCGCGGTCAGGACACGCCCCCAAATTCAAATCTTTTTACTGTGACTGGGCATCTCTTGGGCCTCTTATTACCCTTTCCTTATCTCATCACTAGATGTAGTGAAGGATGGGCTAGGAGTCACTTGTTGAATCCCTACCCAGTAGAATTGGAGGACCACAGTTTTTTTTTATTATTTTTATTTTACTTTATTTTTAAAATTCCTAATGGGCACCAATCA